TCAGCTACAACAAGTCTCAAGGAAAGTCTAATTGCACAGTGAGGAGAAAGATCTGGTGAGAACTCGCCACTCTGGGCAGAGTGAATGCCTTGGAACATCAAGTTATTCTAACAGTTCCCACCCAACAGGATGAGAAGATGCTGGGTGGTGTGTACTGTGAGAACCAGGACTCAGATGTAGGCAGTCAAGTAGAAACTGGACCACCTGTATCTGATAATGGTTCAGTAGGAGGGTTTCTGTAGGAACATTTCTTTAAGAAATCACCAAAAGGGTGCCTTGGGAGAAAGAATGAACCAGTTTTTGGACACATGTCACTCAGAGGACCTTGATTCGAGATTAAGACCTTTCCACACAATACAGAAGTGAAACTGTCCTTTTCCTTTGGTTCCCACTCTATAGCCCTTGCCAGATGCTACAAGGGCAGGAAACAGTATTATGATTGAATAGGAAGCAGAAGCCAGAAGGAAGAAACCCTACCCCTGCCCCACACACACCCACTACTGGCTCCCACCCAGAAAGGATGTTGTTGGGTGCTGTAGAGTCCTGACTCTTAGTGACCCCAAGTGACAGAGAAGTGCCCCACTGGGCTTTCTTGGCTGTAACGGTTTTTTTGTAACTTTTTTCTTGTGAATTGAGTAAAGGTTTACAGACAAACTCATCAGTTTTACATTCAACAAGTCATACACTTTGTTTCGTCCTAATGATTGCAATCCCCTTCCTACAATAAGTTTCCCACATCCTCCCTACGGTTCCTATTTCCACGCCCCTCTCCCACCCCTTCTTATCTTTGTCCTTAGGTAAAGGGTGCCCTTCTGATTTCGAATGATTGACCTTTCCAAGTGAGCATACCTCACCAGTGGTGTTGTAGCCACCATATACCTAGCTACTGCTTGGCTGAAAATTAGGCCATGTAGGTGGGTTTCTTTCCAGAGTGGTCAAGGGCCATAGTCCCAGGTTCCTCCAGTATCTTTCTGAGCAGTAAGCCATCTTTTTATTATTATTACTATTAATAGTTTTTAGTTTTGTCCCACATTCTCTCCTACTCTATCCAGGATCTTCTAATGTGATCCCTTCCAGAGCCTTTGGTAATAGTAACTGCACACCAGCTATTTCCTTGGGTCTCAGAATCATGGAGACTGATGTTCACGTGTTCCATTAGTCCATTGGACTAAATGATTCCAAGCATCTTCAGTTCTCATCACTCTGGTTTATTCCACACATGGAGAGACCTTAGATGACTATTCATGAGTTTTTAAGATGCCAGACACTACTCACCATAGAAAGATATAGAACATTGTCTTTGTGGACTGTGTTATGGCAACTGACCAGGGTGTCTCCTGAGAAAATGGTCCTGAACCCCCTGGTCCAGCAATTCATTGCCTTAAGATTTTTAATAACATCTAAGGAGTTTTCATTTTGCCTGCTGTAAGCTCCACCACATTCATAGTTGTGTTTGCAGGAAAGGTATTCATGTACCAATAGACTCTTTCAAACCATTATTTGTGGACATACTCTGCCTGTATCACTGATTGTGTATCTATCTGCAGAACACTGTTGTTCCAAGGTTGTATATATATATCACTATTTACCTTTGTCTCCTATAGCCCATGCTTACCGCCTTATGTCTTCATCTGTCTTTTCGTTCTTCTGTCTACCCCCCTCTTGGACACTGCCCTCATCACCTGAGTTAGCATGTGTCTACTGTCTAACCAGGGAATTCCTTCCCTCCCTCCATTACCATCAAAGAATGTTTCTTTTAGTATGAAGTCCTTTTCTAGAGTTCTTACAACAGTGGTTTCATACAATATTTGTCCTTTTTTGACTGACTAATTTCAAACAGCACAGTGTCCTCCAGTTTCATCCATGTTATGAGGTGTTTCACAGATTCATCATTATTCTTCAGTGTTGTATAGTATTCCATTCTGTGTACGTACTAAAGTTTGTTTATCCATTCTTCAGTGGATGGGCATCTAGGCTGCCTCTTTATCTTTTTGATTTTGTGAATGGTGCTTCAATGAGCATCAGTGCACATGTATCTATTCATGTCCTGGCTTTTATTTCTTGTGGATATATACCAAGTAGAGGGATTGCTGTTGATACGGTATTTCTATTTCTAACTTTCTAAAAAGGCGTCACACCGTTTACCACAGTGGCTGAAAATTTTACAGTCCCACCAACAATGTAGGAGAGGCACAGTCTCTCCACACTTTCACCAGAATTTGTTATTTTCTGTTTGTTTGTTTGTTTGTTTTAACTTTGCTGTAACTGCTGGTGTGGAATGATATCTCATTGTTGATTTGATTTGCATCTCTCTAACCACTTGTTTGTCAGTATGTTGTACTGTGGTGGCTTGTGAGTTGCTGTGATTCTGAAAGCTATGCCACTGGTATTTTAAATACAAGCAGGCTCACCCATGGTGGACAGGTTTCAGATGAGCTTCCAGATGAAGACACACTAGGAAGAAGGAATGACGAACTACTTCCAAGTATTTAGTCACTGAAAACCTTATGAATAGCAGAGAAACATTGTCAGATATAGTGTTGGAAAATAAGTCCCACAGGTTGGAAGGCACTCAAAATGCAACTAGGGAAGACCTGCCTCCTCAAAGTAGAGTTGACCTTGATGATGTGAATGGAGTAAAGCTTGTGGTAGAAATGCCTGTAGGACCTTAATTTGCTGATGGGGCACAACTCAAAATGAAGAGAAACAGCTATAAACATCCACTGAAAATCGGAACATGGAATGTACAAAGTATGAATCTTGGAAAATTGGAAGTTGTCAAAAATGAAATGGAACATATAAACATTGATATCTTAGGCATTAGTGAGCTGAAATGGGCTGGTATTGGCCATTTTGAATCTGGTGACCCTATGGTTTACTATGCCAGAAATGACAAATTGAAGTGGAATGGTGTTACATTCATTGTCAAAAAGAACATATCCAATTCAGTCATGAGGTACAATGCTGTCTGTGATAGGATAATATCTATGAGCCTACAGGGAAGACCAGTTAATACCACTATTATTCAAATTTACACACCAACCACTAAAGCCAGTGAGGATGAAATAGAAGAATTCTACCAACTCCTTCAATTTGAAACTGATCAAACATGCAATCAACATGTATTGATCATTACTGGTGATTGGAATACAAAGGTTGGGAGCAAAGAGGAAGGATCAGTAATTGGAAAATATGGCCTTGGTGATAGAAATGATGCTGGAGAATGCATGATAGAATTCTGCAAAATCAATGATTTGTTCATTTCAAATACCTTCTTTAGACAGCATAAGAGATGACCATACACATGTACCTCACCAGATGGAATACATAGAAATCAAATTGACTATATGTGCGGAATATTCACTTCTGAAATCTTTGTATTAATCCGGATTTCTGTGTGCCAGATTTATATTGTCTCCAATCTCATCTCTATTTTGCTTGATTGTTCTTGTAGTCCTTTTCTAAAATTCTTGTTTTCCTCAACCTTTCTGTCAATAAGTAAGAGGTACCTAAATACTATTCTTCTAAATTCTTTTTCAGGTAGTTCCAACGCCTCTTTTTCCTCAAAAACTTTTTGTAACTCTGCCTCTTGGTCATTTGTTTTGAGCCAGTGTCTTGTTTCTTCAAGTGAACAGAAATTGTCTGTTGCTTCTGAGGCATTGTGACATTGTTGTATTTGTATTAAGTTGATGATTGTATGTTGGTGTCTTCTTAGGCATTCTCCACATCCTGGTGGGTGTGATTAGGTGATAAGCTTGTGCACCATTCTCTGTTCATGCAATTCAGTTCAAGGTGTATTTAGATGGTGTTAGCGGTCGTCATTGATCTAGTGTATAGCAGCTGGTATTTATTGGCTCTTGTCCAATGGGTGGGGCTATATAAGATATAGTTGTGGCTGGGCAAAGAAGAGGGGTTAATAGAACACACTTCCAGTTCTATAATAAAATATAAATCTGATTATAGGTTGCTTTGCTCATTGGGGAAGGAAAAAAACAAGGAAAGTTCTCTAGTAGCTGTGAGGCTTGAGGGGGGTGGGAGGGAGGGTGGTCCTTGATCCTTTAGAATCACCTCTGGATTTATACTTTCTGGGTAGCAAGGAAGAATTTGAGAGCATATCTAAAGATGAAGATGGTGCCTGATTTCAACTATAAGGAGCAACCTTGCCTGATTCTAATAAGTCTCAGAGCTCATTAGATAACAGGAACTGCTAGTAATCTTTCCATCTGATCTCAAAGCCAGCCTCTCTAAAAGCAACATTTTCCATTTTAAAAAACTACAACCCACATCAAGAAATACATTTTACATCATGACCCAGTAAATGCACAAATGAAACAAAAGATTCATGAAATAATGCATGCCTTACTACGTGTACCATACTCTGATATTTTCTATTCTACATCATTTAAAAAAAATCCAGGTCTACTCTATTTGCTATAAGGAGCTCTGGTAGCGTAGTGGTTACGAATCAGGCTGCGAACCTTAAGGTCAGCGGTTCGAAACTACCAGCTGCTCCGTGGGAGAAAGATGAGGCTTTCTACTCCCGTAAAGATTTACACCCTCGGAAACTCTGTACAGGGTCGCTATGGGTTGGAACCGACTCGACGGCACTTAACAACAACAACAACAACTCTATTTGCTAGTGGATCTGGAACCACAGTCTGGAAACCACATGGCTTACTGCCCTAATTCAGTATTGGGGTTGGGGCCGTAGCACTTGGTTAGCAACAGCCAGTGCTGTGGCTGATTTCCAACACCTCAAATGATGCTTGTCACAAGTTGTATCATTCTGGTTGCTCTTAACCATTCACCACCCCTACGGCTCCCCTCCCCAAAGAAGGTAGCCATTGTAGATTCTACAAGATCCATTTAATTTAGCCTTCAGTGTTAGTGAAACATAAGAATCAAAAGGAAATACATAATTTCAGGAGTTCAGTAATTGCCTTGATGAAGAGTGCAAGGCAGACTTCAAAGTGTAGGTCCAACTTCAAATATCGGCCAGGTCAGTTTGAGAAAGCACGAACAAAGTTATAGTAATTAATCTTGCCTTCTTCGTGAGAGCACATCCTGATTAACTGCAGAAAAGAGCAAAAGGGAACAGGTGAGACAGATGGCAGGGTGGCCCGCAGCCCAAACGCAGAGCGCGTGCATGTATAACGGTGCTGGGCGTTTGGAGCCAGTTCAGAGTTTTTATGTCCTCAGTTGATTCTGAAGTGATTTTGTGTACCTGGTTGGTCAGTAGGTTAGACATTAGCCTCACTTTACATTTAATGCACTGGATGCTCAGAAGGACTACATGGCCTGCCCTATATTTCAGAAGTGGCCTTCGAATTTATAAAGGGCACAGTTACTTTCAGAGCACTTGTAATGGTTTTTAGATGCAAATACGGGATTTTGTCCACCTGGTCTGTATGAAGTGAAACTCTTAAAGTAGTAGCTTCCTGTTAGCACAGACAAATAGAAGCATCTAGTTATGTCAAACTCTGTCCCTGAGACAGCTGTGAGTGGTTTGTAGCAGGTTCCTTTATGACAGAAGTACCAACCTGCCCCGCCTCCTTCCCACCGCTGCCACTCCACCCTCCGTGTCAGACCACAGATAGCGTGAATGGACTGGACAATCAAAAGCTGCAAATGTTGTCAGTTTGTAATTGGAGTAGCTACATGGGTGTCTGGCCCACACGAACAAAAGTACCCTTCCATCTTTCTATCTGTCTTCCCCCCAATGCCACACTAACACTTCTATGAAAGATTTTTCCTATCATTTTCCATAGGAAAAATCTTCCAACCTAGTTGACCTAGCTCTAAACAAATGCCTTCTCTAAATGAGTATTAACTTCAATGCACCCTCTTTCCCTTAAAAGATCTTTAAGAAAGTCTACAGCATTTCAGTGATTTCAGTCCATGAGAATGTGTCAATGATAATAAGCCACAGTCTTGGGCAATTGTGGGAGAGATTATGTTCTGGGGTCTAGGAGAACCCTGGCGAGAGGGATTTATAATGAAGAAGGGGCACAGAATCCCTCTTAAGACTTTCTCACAAAAATTCCAGGAGGATAATTTCGATGCCCTTTCACCATCTGCATATTGAGCAGAAAGCGCTGACTTGGGCAGTGGCTGCACATACTCTCATGTCAGCCCTCTGAGGTGTGGGCAATATAAAGGGCACCAAAGACACACAACCGTCCATGCTGCTCTCCCCCTTGGTGGCTCTGCACCAGGACTTGGTGCTGCTGCGGCCCACAGATGGCCCTGGTCTACCCATTGAAGAGAGATTTTTATGTCCTGCCTTGGAATAGTCCTAGAATCAAGGGGGAAATGTGATAATCAGGGTAGGATATCTGATTTCAACATCCTAAATCTTCCCCCAGTTAAAATAAAACACACATCCAATTGCCTTTGGGAATGAATGAACCGTACTCAGCCTCTGTAGCCAACCGATTCCTTATACTGACCTCCTTAACCAAGGAATCATCAACTGGGATGTTAAAAGATTCACAGATTTTAAAGAACATCTCTCTGTCCACATATCCAGAAGCTTCCTTGTCACAACCTTGAAATGCTTCATGAATATTGTCTTTACATGAATAGTCTTTCAGTTGCTTCTGGATTGCGTCTATTAATGTTTCCAGTTCCTTCGTGCCTGGATCCTCTTCAGTTTGCTTGCTATAGAGAAAGGAAGGAAATAAAGGACGTGACATTTATTCCTAGCCAATCTTATCTCAGTGACCAAAGTTCTCACTTGGTGGAGTCAGGGACACTTTGGGGCTGAGCTGACCAATAACTAGGCACTTGCTTGCGTATGCTGATGGCTGACTGCCACATCGGGAAGGCCTGACTGGGAGACAAGGGGCAGTTTTTGAACTGAAGCCCAGCTTCCCTTCCTGTTCTCTGCTAAATCACTGCACTGCCAGGGGCCAAATCTACACCACCAGCTCAAGTTTGGAATCACATGATTATCCTTAATATTACAGCAGGTTAAGGTTACAATGTTACATCATGTAAAAATAAATGTCTGAAGGGTATATATGTGTATGTATATGTACTTTCTCCCCCTTAGACATGAACCAACTTAATGGCACTTAA